CCAGTACGTATACCCCGCTGAGTGCCACCAGCTGCACTCGACTGGCCACGTATTTGGGCCTCTCCGTCGTTCTTTCCTTTCCTCTCTTCCTCTCCTGCTCCTCTCGCACTCGGAGGGGTACGAAAGCAAAAGAGAGAAAACCCTTTCCTCTGCATCATCAATATGGTTATTTCCATTTCCTCCCCATACACAGCAACACCAACAGAGGACGATGTCAACCCCCTCTCCGAACACAGCAAAACAAAACAGAACGACCAGAGCAGGATTTGAACCTGCGCCACCGAAGTGAATAGATTTCTAGTCTATCGCATTAGACCACTCTGCCATCTGGCCGATTGATGAAAGAAAAGGCTACGGTTGCGGGATTAAGACCAGTCACCACCCTCTCGAAACCTATCCGGACTAGCTTGATGTCCCCTGCATCTGCCTACGCTCGTTCCATTTCCCTCACACCGGCACGCGGTACACCTGATACTCATCGCCCACGTCCACCGGCAGAATGTTAAACGTGACATACGAGTCAATGTTCTCCGGCTCCAGCACGTTGAACGCGTGTGCTGCGTTCTTCTGTCTCGTACTGACCCAGTAGCCTCCCGCTGGGATCTTCACCTCCTTGCTCACAGACTCGGTCGTCACCGTCGTGCGCACGACGCCCTCGTATTTGGACGCCGCCACGATCGAACTCGTCACGTTGAGCGCCTCGACTTGGCCCTCAAAATCGCCGTACAGCACGTCCACCACGACGCCCGCCGCCTGCAGCCTGTCGGCGACGTCGTGCCACGCCCGCGAGAAGACGTACGCCTGCGGCCTCGACCGCGTGAGGTTCGCTGTCACGGGTGTTGTGTTCATAAACGTCACCGGCACGTCGACAATGCTGCCGTTGGTCACGTCGATGAAGGGCCAGGAAATATTCGTCGCCTTCGCATAGTCCGTGATGACAATGGCCTCGTCGCTCGAGATGAAAGCAGCGCGTGCCCTCTCGACTGTGTCATAGACGAGCTTTGCATTGTCAGCTGCCGTCTGTACGAGTGCCTGCACCATCGTCAATCCCGTCGCCACGCGTCGTTGCCAGTGCTGGTCCGCGAGACGGATGCCGCGCGTCTCCGTCAGGAACATGACGGCTTGGCTGAGGCCGACCGATGTGTCGCCCATCTTGGCATCCGAGCTCGTCTCGTCGAGCACGACATCGTCACTGCCGGCGTTGCCTGTGACGTAGGGGCTCCACCGCAGACCGCGGCTCTCCATGGCCGCTGCAATGCTGTCGGCAAAAAGCGTCTCCGAGAGCTCGCGAATATCAGCATGGATGTTGAGGTTTTTCATGGCCGAGAACTGCCCGTCCTGCGCCGCGTGCCACTGGTCCAAGGCGCCGTAGGCACGCGTCGCCGTGTACTCGTGGCAGTCGACGCCTACGTGCGGCGCATAGTCCATGACGAGCTTCTTGATGTCGCGCGTCTGCTGCCGCGCGAGCTTGGTGTGGTCTCGATTTGGATCGAACGAGGTCGCGAGGTAGCGCTGGAAGTATGCCACGCCGTCGGGGTTGTAGCGCGGCAGCACAAGCAGCTCGACGTGTTCCAGGATCGAGGCAGCCCACGTCGCGTTGGCGTCGAATTGTCCGAGGAGCGCCAGCAGCGCCTGGTCGCCGGCCGGCTCGTTGCCGTGCACGCCGCCCTGCATCCAGATGCGGACTTTGTCGTTCGACCGCGTGCTGTTGGCGTAGCTCTTGAGACTGCCACTCCTCCCCGGCTTCTCAGAGGTTGAGAGATAGATGTACGGCAGTGAGCGGCCCTCTTCCGACTGGAAGGAAGGGTTGTGGTATGTCATGTAGTCGTTGCGGGTGGCGAGCGTGCGGAGGAAGTGATCCATCGTCAGCTCGTCCGTGGGGCCGCTCGTGCCATTGGCGAAGGCTTCGGGAACGGTGTCTGGACTGACGAAGGCCGGTGAGAAGAGCTCAATACCTTCGACTTCGGGAAAGTTGGTCGCGACATGGTCCTCGTCTTGAAGCACCGTGACTTGGTTGTCAGCGTAAGCAAGTTGTGCCGCTGCGAGTCCGGCATGGGCCAGGCCCGCCGCAATTGACGCTGAGAGGCGCATACTGAGGGACTTCGAATTGAGTAGAGACTATCTCCAGCGTGGGTTCGAGAAAGATGGCAAACTCTCGAGCTCTGCGACCTCCCCATCTCGAGGGCCCAAGTCATTATTTAAATAAGATGAACATCGTTGAGCACAGCCTCCCAAGGTGCCGCCGATCCCTTGGTCCAGTTGTCCGATGCAACCCGACAGCACTGATAAGCAACATGCATTTTTGCTCGTTGCGATGCCCCAATACCAAGAAACTTGTGTCGTCATCTTGGTCTCTCGACGAGTCGCGATACAGTAACGCCAGGCAGAATGAGGAAGGTGAGGAACCTGTCGGTGGAGATCGGCCAACTTAACCTTAACCCGCCCGACCCCGCAGTCCCCGCAGCCCGCCGGCCGGTGTGGGTGGCAGGGTGGGGCACGGCGTCGGCGCAGATTTCGGGAGAAGAAGCCTCGGGGTGCCGTCATTGCATCCGGTCACTTTCACCTTGACGGCATCCTAGCGGCGTCTCCCCTATTATTCCTTCCCTGCAGGACTTGCTACTAGAGCTGTTGATGCGAAGCTGCCCTCCGGATAAGACACCGTGGCCATCAAGGTGCTAATGCCTTCATCTTGGCCTGCATGCCGTGAGTCGCGTGCCATGTGATTGACCAGCCCGCGAGCAGGACCTTGAAAGCTTGATTGGATAGACACATTTTCTGCGATATGGGTTGTTCTCTGGGGGCGCGAACAATTTTTCGATTCTGATGAATATATGTGGCCAATGTGGCGATGGGAGTTGGGGCTCGTAGCGCAACAGATCTAGGTATCAAATATCTCTGTTATCTCCAGACGCCTACCTACATACTGCAATAAGAATTGCTGGGCAAAGGGTATGCTTCACTTGTCAAGCGATGTTGTCTGGAGAACAGTGACCCTGCTGGGCTCTTCATCGGGGACGCTTTTGGTGCTGTGGATCGTCTTGCAGGATTTGAGATTGGCAAAACGATACGCAAAGCTTGAAAGAGAAAGACGAAGAAGTGAGGTGTATATCCAGGGACATTTCTTACACCCAAAGTTTTTTTATCCATTCCAGACGTTACACCTTGGCGTGTCCCGTGTTCTGGATGCTGCTCATAGGGATGTGCAGCGCCCGGTCAGAAGCTTCAAGTAGGGACATGCTTGCTTGGAACAACCGTAACCACCTGATTGGAGACTCTTTAGTGCTGGTGATCCGTGGAGGTGATCTCAAGAGGCGGCGAACCCGGAGAATCAGGATGCCCTGGATTTTGAGGGCTCAAGGGTCTATTCTAGAACCTTAGGCCTTGAAGGTATTCACAAGATATGCCTTGGGACTATGTTCCAGAATCATATGATCCGCAGGCGCTGCGGAAGCCCTCTCCGCCTGACCAAGAATAACACTCTCACGTATGCATGGTCTGATCCATCGCCTGTTTCGCATGACGGATGTTGGAAACGATGAAGAAACGCTTTGCGACCGAGTATTCATCCTTCTTTGAATTACAATGATTTTCACTCACATAATCGCTTATCTCTTTACTTAAAACTTCCGACAAAGCGAAAACACGGCTCGAAAAACCCAATACCGGTGCAACACGGGCCTTCCGCCAACCCGTCCGGGTGGGATCTAGTCAGCTGGATTGGACTCTTCTTCGACGAGACGGAGCACCCACCTTGACGAATCTTCAGGTTCCATTATGGCACAGCAGATACTCCAGACGGATCCCGCTCATAGGAGCCGCCCCTGAACACCAGTACACCTTTGTCACAAGCCTTTCCCTAGTGTCAAATATCAGCTACACGAATGCTCCTCGAGTCACGCCTGAACATGGGAGCCGGACCTCATGCCATGCCAATCGTGACATTCTGCCACCGCCTCAAGGACCGAAACAGCATAGGCGGCTGCCGATAGACACACGGAAGCGCCGCGATTGACAGATCGCAAGAGACTGGATGCAAGACCTCGGTGGGTGGATATTATCGTCGATCACTTCCCTCATTGGGACCGGCGATGCACTCCTTCAAGGCTCATTTTGCGGTTGGGCCCTGATGGCACCTGTCAACCAGGCTGTGTCATATCCACGTATGATTTTCTAGATCCTTGGCCGACTTAGCGGCATCTAATTCAGCATTGTCGTCCGACAAGTTGGGGGCGGAAGCTACGCCCAGAAGCGGTAACAACATTCAAGCTTGTACCCTGCCCATAGTGAACATGCAGCAATGGCATCGCTAAGAAACAAAACAGAACGTGAATACATTCGCGACAGTATAGCTGGTCCCGAGGAGCTGCAATGCACTTTTCTTCCTTCGAGGAAATAGTCTTTCCAGGAAAAAACTCGTGCAGTTGTGTCTTCTGCATTCTGGAGCAGCACAAGCCTCGGTAATCGACATGGGGAAATCAAGCTTCGGAGGGATCACCATCCCCGCCAGCTCGTCCGGGACAGGGGCCCTTTCTTAATCTTAACCCACGGCTTCTGCCCAAACTACCGCGCCCCGGAAGGCTGCTGGGCGGCCAATCACGCACACCAACCGCGACATGCTAGGAAGGAGAGCAGCCTCGTCTGGCTATGGGCTGGCCGGAAGAATCGCGGTCGCTCAGTGCCCCTGCATGAGGCACTTTCAGTCGCGCAGCGCTGGTCTTCATTTTGTGTTCTATTTTCATTGTCACGACCCGTCGCTCTTGCGATCCTTCGGGTTGACTAGCTCGAGATGGAACGGCAATGGCCCACGTCGCGGGGCTGACTGCGGAAATGCCCATGTCCAGAAGATGGAAATGTGCCGCGGCGAGCTCGTCGTCCGACCCAGGTTCGAGACAGTATATATATGGCCGTCCCGCTGCTCGTCTGAAGGTGAATCAATGCTGGCTTACACCTGGCATCTCGGCCAACAGTAGTCATTCCTTTACCCCTTATCCCCGAGCACCATGCCTTCTCCAAGGCTTCGCCATGGCCTCGTCTGGGCGACCGCCCTCGCGGCCGGCATGGCTTCCCTGGTCGCCGGTCAGTCTCTGCCGGACCTTCGTATCATGCCGCTCGGAGACTCCATCACCAAGGGCAGCGGGTCCAGCGATAACAACGGCTACCGTAACCGCCTGCGGCAAAAGCTCACAACGCAAGGGACCGACACGGAAATCTCGGTCGACATGATCGGCAGCATGTGGCACGGCACCATGGCGGACAATGACCACGAGGGGCACAGCGGAGAGTACCTGCGGCAGATCAGGACCTATCTGCAGCGCTCGATTCAAGCTCGCCCGAACGTCGTCCTCGTCCACGCGGGCACCAACAACATGGACAAGGAGGTCGACCTCGGCGAAGCGCCCGCCCTCATCGAAGGCATCATCGATGACCTGCTCCAGGGCTCCCCGAATACTGTCGTCCTCGTCGCGCCCGTCATTTGGGCCAACGACGCTCGCATGAATGCCAACACCGATCGCTTCAATAAACAGCTCACGACCTTGATCGCCTCCAAGCAGAAGGCCGGAGAGCACGTGCTCGCTGTGCCCATCACCATCGGAGCCGGCGACCTGTCTGACAGAAAGCACCCCAACAATGCTGGGTACGGCAAGATGGCCGATGCATGGTTCAATGCCATCTTGGAGGCACACGAGCGCGGCTGGATCAAGGCCCCGGCCAAAGTGAACGCAGACGAGCTCTCGGGTATGGGACTTGGCTGGGAGGATGCGCCCGCCGGTGCTGGATCTGCCGGCTGCGGTGGACGCAATTTTGAGAGCAAGGGCCAAGTCTTTGATGGCTTTCGCGTCTGGGAAGAGGTCGGCACCATCAGAAGCCCTGTCGAGAACGGACGCCGGAACAAAGTCATACTGGCAGACCTCAATGGCGACGGCATTTCCGACTACGTCGTGGCGGACGATGATGGGACCGTCAGAGCTTGGATCAACGGTGGCAAGCCCAATCAGTGGACGAGCATCGGCAAGATCAACCCCGACTGGTCGACGATTACGGGCGACATGGTGCGCATGGCTGATGTCGACAACGATGGCAGGGCGGACTTGATCGTCCTGTACTCGGACGGCGCTGCAAAGGTGTGGAAGAACACGGATAAGTATGTGTTCAAAGCCCTTGATTCGCAGTGGGCTACCGGGCTGGCACCTCGTGAGAACGTCAACTTTAGAGACATGGATGGCGATGGCTTCGCTGATTATGTCGTCGTATACTCAGGTGGTGCTGTCAAGTGGGCAAGGAACACGCAGAACAACGGCAAGGATCAAAATAAGAGAAACTGGGAGGCAGCGGTGACTGTAGCCCCAGGTCCTCAAGGCGTGCCGGAGAATCGCGTTCGGGTTCAGGACCTGGACGGCGATGGCAAGGCTGGTAAGTCACGACATACTGCGATCTGCAAGTCTCGCTGCACGACAATTTCGAATCGCTAACAAAATGCTCCTACAGACTACCTTATTGTCTATGACGGCGGCGCCGTCAAGTCCTTCCTCAACACTGGAAACCTCAACAGCAACGGAGAGCAACGCAACTGGTTGGATCTTGGCACCATCGTGCCCGGCGTCGGCGGCGTGACTGGCAGCATGATCAGGTTCGCCGATATGGACGGCGACGGCCAGTCTGACTTCTTGGCTGTGGCAGATGATGGCAGCATCCGAATGTGGAAGAACCTCGGTATCGTCGGTACAAAGGGTGCCAGTCTACGTTTCGCCGACCTCACAGGCGATGGCAAGGCCGACATAGTCTCTGTCAACCACAAGGGCCGCGCAAGAGCCTGGCTGAACAAGGGACTCGGCGTCTGGGACGACATTGGAGAGATTGCGCCTGGTCTGGACGAAGATTTGTCCTCTGCAACGATTCACTTTGCCGACGTCAATGGCGATAAGCGAGCTGATTTCCTCGTGGTCTATGGAGAGGGCGGTGTCAAGGCGTACCTCAACAATGGAAACCTTCCAGACAAGGGCAAAGACCGCATCTGGCAGACAGGCCAAACCATTTCCGAAGGTGTGGGTGAGCCCGGCCGCAAGGTTCGTTTCGCCGACTTGAACGGAGACGGCTATGCGGACTATCTTGTCGTCTTTGACGGAGGCGCTGTGGATGCCTGGCTCAATCAGAAGAACATCCCGGCAACGAACGGCGGCCGAATCTGGGGCTACAGGACCACAGTAGCTACTGGCGTGGGCGAGCCTGGGAGTAAGGTCCGTTTCGCCGACATCACAGGTGATGGCAAGGCCGACTACTTGATCCAGTACGTCGGAGGCGCCGTCAAAGGATACAACAACACGGGCAACATCCCAGATATTGGCCGGGCGAGGAACTGGGCCAACATGGGCACCATTTCAACGGGCACCAGCCCCCAGGGTCCCGTCCGTTACGCCGATCTGAACGGAGACGGCAAGGACGACTACCTTGTCGTCTTCGGAAGCGGTATTGTTCATGCGTACATCAATTCTTGCGACTGGCGTGCTCCTGAACCTGTAGGTGGCGGGGAAGGAGACGAAATTGATGGCGACTCGACGTGCGAAGATATCAAGAGTAAGTTTGTACTCGATGTTCCCCACAGAGAATCAAATGGCAAAAGAACTCTCTAGTCACCGACAAATGCTAACGGACCGCCACCCCTCAACAGAGCACGACTCTGGTGTTGGAATCTTCGATGCACCGCTGTGGAACGACGCAGAGACGACTCCGTATTGGTCATGTAAGTAACTCACCCAACTTCATGCAGTCATGCTGTCCAAGAGAGCATATCCAGCTGACAAGGCGCTCTTCTTCCTCCCAGGGTGGCTGTCGTTCGACTCGAATGCCAACGATGGCGTCCCACGAGCCTTCGCAAGCGAATGGGGCTTCGACAGCGTGTCCTGCCCCATCCTCGGTGATTGCGGATTCCCTAACGACTGCAGTGGCTATAGCAAGAGCAAAGGCAGCGGTCGAGCTCATCTCATCATGAAGTCGCTTGACAACTTACACTCTTACTACAAAGCCATGTACCAGGCTGTCAGCTCGACCCTGGGTTATTTCAACGCCATGCAGCGCGTCTTCGAAGAATACTACCCGGAGCCCAGCCTGGAAGACGTCGGCATCAAGGCGCTTCTGCAGATGACGGAACACATCTTGGGTGTGGGAACTGCCATGGCAGGTTCCGACACAGGCGAGTTGATCGCGAACGGGCTGTTCTCTGCCGTCAGCGGAGTTGCCGAGAATGCGTTGGAGAACAAGGACGAACCTCTCCGTTATGCCGCCGATCTTGCAAAGTACGCTGAAGGATGACCCTCTCCGGAAACAAGAGTTGCAGACCTCAGGAGACAGGATAATTTGCTAACTTCTGCTCCAGGGTCGGCTTCCGATACTTCAACAACAGCGCCGCCGCCATCGAGACAATGCATAACACCCTTCTGAAGCAGGGCCATTATGAAGGACCTGAAGGAGCAAAAATTATTCTTGACGACGTGTTCAAGAACGGTGCGTGGCTCAACAGCGATAAGATTCCGATTCTCAGCCAGAGTGAAAAGGATGGAGTCCCTCGCATCGGAACTTCCGAGTTGGCGAGTTGGTTCTTTGCCTTCCTCCATGCCAGCATTCTCAACTACTCGTGGAGGAATTCGCTTGTCTTCATTGTCGGCCACAAGATGACACGGAAGGAGTGTGAGTCTCAAGACCCCGGGGTGCAGCTCCTTTGACCAGTGTACCCGACGTTTCTGATCAGCTTTAACACAACAACGCAGTCGACGATGGCGCCGCAGACATTGACGATAATCTCAAGGCGTACCATGACGGTCGGGGTTACTTCTTGCAGAGGTTTGTTGGCCCTGAAGCTACTACAGCCCAATTGAGTGTCCTGACATACATTGACCATGCGCAACAGCTACGAGCCTTATCGTTCACTCGGTAGCTGGGAGTTCAGATCCCGAGACGCTCCTGGTTACAACATTTTCCCCGAGGGAAACGGCCTCACCTTCAGACTGAAGCATTCTGACGCCATCACCAGCTCTGTGGAGACGCACAACATGTTTGGCTTCAATTACACGGGTTCCGTTGTACTCGATGAGATCCTGACCAAGCCCAACTGGGATACCTGGAGGGACTTGAAACCTGACCTCCCAGGAACCTTTTCCATACCTGTTGGTTTGGTCGATGAGGCGGAAGATTGGAACAGCGGGGTGGAATATTTCCTGACGCGTATCAACGACCCTGGCGAAGGTCCTCACGACGGTACACTGTAAGACTGGTCCCCTTCCCTTTTCCCCTTCCTTGCCAAGAATTGCAGAGGAGCAGTCACTGACATGATTTCAAAGCTTCTGCGAATGCAAGAACAACGAGGACAAGAACGGAAAGCGATTCATCGACCAGCTACGTTATGCTGACGATCTCAAGCGCGCATGCTCGCCTAGTTGGGATCCGACGGAGGGCACTGGTTAAATTTGTGTCCTGGCGAGCTGCTGATGCAGGGTATCTTGGGATGGAGTACTTCGCTTGTTGTACTGAGACTGAAAGCGCTTTCATGGCATGGGACTTACGGCCTTCCACCCACTTCCCATCTTGGATATATTTTTTCTCCTCTGCTCAGTTATCAGATGCTATTTGTGTTTATTGATGACCAACCTGGTAAAATGGAGTGGCGCATCCAAGGCGATGCCATCATCACTTTGCCAGACGGCGCTCAACCTTGAACGTGAGGGTTTACTTGTAACCCATTTACGTTGCTCCGCTGTTGTGCTTGTCCAGAACTGAGAAGGCCCTGGATCTGTAGCATGGCCCTGTGACAACAAACAGATGACGACAATGATCCATCTAGTCCTTGAGGTGAAGGCGCCAGACATTCGACTTCATATCGCAATAAGAGCGAAAAGAGACCAATGTGGATGGCGGCGTTTAGGAGGTGCCTGGGTAGGAGGTGCCTGGGTAGGTACCCAGGTACCTATATTGGTAGCGACGTGTTGGTGGTGGTTGGGAGGGAGCGAGGGGGGAGGGGCTGGGTTTCCTTCCCGCGTTGCTCTACCAATTATAATGACCGCCCACAGAGGGGTCTTGCGGCCACGCGAGAATGAAGGTCACGGGCAGAGCCAGACGGAACGGAAAGGAATAAGCAGCACGATTCAGAAGCCGCAGCAGTGAGTGCCTTGGATTTCAGAATGGCATTGACATTTCAGCATGCCTGGCTGAACCCTGCCTCGCTACATATTACAGAGGCAAGGGACCACTGGAGCTCCAGCGAGTCACACGTCACCACCAGCCCATGCACCCAGCTCCAACAGTAGAGCGGTACTTGCCGTTGCAGACATTGGCAGTATGGCCGCAGGTACCCCTCTATCGGCGGGGCTGAGGCGGCAGCCTTGCCGGGGCCCACAATCCCCACGCCTAGCCAAATCTTTCACTTTCTCGGACCTTCTATGGAAGCTTCCCGACCGTGCTGCCCTCCAATCGCCCGTCATCGCAAAAGCACTTCCATCACCTGGCCACAGCCTTTTCAACAACTCGAGCAACTTGACCGGTAAGCCACTGCTCTCACCTACCCATCCCTTGACACCACACCACCACCACTACTCGCGACACTCTTCTGACAAAAAGCAAAGTCCTTACCACCAGCTTTTGGTACCCCTCTTTCACAGCATCCCGCTTTGCCCCTTAGAACAACACACACACACACACCACAACATGTCTGCTACCAAGGCAACTCCCGAGGGTATGTTCTCAACACCAGCTTGGCCTGCGTGGCGGTCACGACCTAGACGGAACTAACATCGGCCTCCAGTCCTCTGGGCCCAGCGCTCCAGCGCCTCCGACGCCACTAAGAACTTCGTCTACCTGACCATCACCGTCCCTGACGTCCCCGCTTCCAGCCTCAAGCTCGACCTCAAGCCCACGGGCCTGACCTTTGATGGCCACTCCGACACCCTGAAGAAGGACTTCCACCTTGACCTCGAGCTGTACGGCGAGATCGACACGGAGGAGAGCAAGGTCAACCACACTGGCAAGAACATTGAGCTGAAGCTCCAGAAGAAGGAGCTCAAGGAGGAGTACTGGCCCCGCCTGCTCAAGGAGTCCAAGAAGGTCCACTTCCTCAAGACCAACTTTGACAAGTGGGTCGACGAGGACGAGCAGGAGGAGGCTCCCGAGGAGGACTTCTCCCAGTTTGGCGGCATGGGTAAGTAACAAGTCAATCCTTACCAGACACTCTGGGCAAGGAAATTTCTTCAATCCACGACAATGATTGCTGACTCGATTTCCCCTCCCGCAGGTGGCATGCCCGGTATGGGCGGCATGGAGGGCATGGGTGGCATGCCCGGCATGGGTGGCATGGGTGGCATGCCCGGCATGGGCGGCGGCGACTTTGGCGGCATCGACTTCTCCAAGCTCGGCGCTGGTGGTCTGGGCGGTGCCGACTTTGGCGGCGACGACGACGACGAGGGTGATGAGGACGAGGACGACATGCCCGCCCTCGAGGGCGACGAGGCCGCCAGCAAGCCCGCCGCTGCTGCTGCCGCCACCACTGACGCCGCCGCCGCCAAGGAGCCCGCGAAATAAGCAGTCTTCTCTGGCCGACGCCCGATCTACCTCAACTTGTGTTCTCTCTGCCTTAACCAACACCCTACCTCCCCATGGTCTCTCTTACAGAACTCCATCCTCCCCTTCGATCATACCCATCCATGCAGACACGAAATATGAGAGCAGGGTCGCGGTAGACGCTCGAGCACCTCTTAATGTCGACTTGATGAAAGCAAAAGAAATGATTTTTTTTAAACAAAAAGTTCTACTGCCAGCACACCGAATGATTGTCGTCAGTGAATCGTGTTGAAATATGATGATGAGTGGCCGTTGTTCAATGCTCCTTGTCCCTCACAAATGCAGCAGTATTTGGGAGTGGATAGCACCATGTTGGGGATTCAAAGTTTTCCCTCAGCAGATGAAATATATTGTTGGCCATAGGAATGTCGCATATGCATGACTGAAAACATGTCGGTACTTTGCTGGGTTACAGGTAGGAATCAGACGTTAGGAGCATACCTACCTAGCTGACTAGACACAGGAGCAAGTGATAACAGGCAAGCCACAGACTGGCGCGTTGGTTGAGTCGAAGACAAGTAGTTGATCACTCATATTTGTTGAGCAGGTCCTTCACGGCACGCACGTCTTACTATTGCCATCCATGCGAGCCAAATCATTGCTCATATTACCAGACTACTCTGTAGCGCTCTCCCCTCATCTTTAGTTTGGTGTTTGTTGGTATAATACAATCATGCGCTGCTCCTGGTCATGTCTGAAAGTGTAATCGAAACGAAGTGTGAAAGCCATCCGTTCCAGTCGGGTACCTCGCCCCTGTCCGAGCTACCAGGCATAACCTTCCTGCCGCAGCTCTACTTGTACCAACCCAAGGAAGAAAAATAAATAAACCGTGCCCAGAAACTGCCCTCCCGTCGTTCTTGTTATCAATCTGATGGGGAGTCCGGACCGCATGAAGAATCTGCATCAATGCGGCGCTACTACATGATCTCATCCATGGGGGCGTCACCGGTGGCAGCGGCAGCGGGAACGGCAGCGCCAGAGGCAGCATCAGTAGTGCCAGCAGGAGCAGCCTCGAAGTAGTCGGCCATCTCAGAGTCAAGCTCCTCGGCGGTCTTCTTCGCGGGCCTAGCAGTGCGGCCCTGGCGGGGCTTCTTGCCCCGGCCGGCAGCACCGGCGGTCTTCGCGGCGTTGTGCTTGTTGGACGCAGCGGACTTGGGCTGAGCCTTGGCCTGCGACTTAGGCTGGCTATGAAAATTGTCAGATGTGTTTGGCATGGCAAGTAATAGCTTGTCAACTTACGAAGTGCGCTCGGCGAGCGTCTTCGCGGGGGGGATGACGTTAGCCGCCTGGGAGGCGCCTACGACAATCTCAATCTGGCCATTGCGTTAGCAGACGCACTGTGGAAAGTTGATTGAGCTTGCTGACCTTGATGGGGCGGCCATCGACCAACAGACCGTTGAGCTTGTTGAAGGCCTTGCTAGCGCCATCGGGCTTGCTGAAGGAGACATTGGCGATGCCACGGCTGACCGAGTTGGGTCCGTAAGAGATTTCAACCTTCTTAATGAAACCGACCGATTGCGCAAAGTACTCCTGGAGTCTGATGTCAGTATTCCGAACAAAGTGCGTAGGTAATCGTATGCGTTCCGTCGCAATAATCCGCAGAGCCGAGATGGTCGATCACAAAGTTTGTCCAGCGAGCAGAGCAGTGAGCAGCCGTTGTAGCCATAGATCGTCCGTTCAAGCCCACAGAATGCCAGCGCCGCGTGAAAGACGCAAGTTATGACAGTGCCCTCGGAGCCGTCGACTTGTTCGTTCCCAGATGAATATCGCGCCGCAACTGAAATGTATGCTCCATGAAAAGCGCACTGTTCGCATAACCAATGATAGAGCTACCGAGCTTTTTTCATTGCTTCCCTCAAACCACAGGGAATGGACTCTCTTGTGCCACATTGTTCTGCTCACTGTTGCTCACTGCTGTGCTCGCTGCATGCCAACATGTGAAGCCAGATTTGAATAAGCAAGCGTTCGATCGGGTAGATTTCGCAGGCCACGCTCGTGGGTTGCTCGCGTCCTCTCAAACAGCCTACATCCCTTGGTTTGTCATCGCTTATCATGCTGCAACGGTGCTGACCAGGCTACCGGGACGCAACTGATATTCATGGCGTGACAGGGATGTGCTCAACTCTTGTCGGCACGACACGGCTGAAGCTTCGTGGTGCGCGGCAGAGGAGACTTGCGGCATCTTGCTTGGGGCCAGGGAACGGCTTTTGGCGTCTCTAGCCGAAGAAATACGCATCGCTGAAACGCTTTCGGAGGGTGTGCGAGCGAGGGAAAACATGTCGAACTGTGTCCGAATACTAAGGTAGCCTCAGCGGCAACATACCTTGATTTGCTGCTCGTTCACGTCCTTGGGCTGCAGGGTGTTAGTCGGGTTTGGCAGATATTAAATATGGCGAAACGTACAAGGTTGTTCACGATGATCTTGCTGTCACCAGTGTGGGGGGCGGCCTTGGCTGGAGTGGGCTTGTTGGCCGGGGTGCGCGCGTTCCTGGGGTTCTTCTGAACACCGCCGACAGGTGCGGCAACGGCGGGACGGCCGGTGGTGGTGGCCTGGCGCTGAGAGCGGCGGCGAGGGCCGTTGGAGCGGCGGCGCGTGGTGAGGATCTCGTCAAGAGACTGGTCAAGCTTGCCGGACATATTGGCGATTATGGAGTGGTTTGTTGTTGGAGTCGGTATGTGAGTTCCTGCTTCCTAAAGCTGCAGTGATGGTAGACGACTGTACGAGATGGCTCGAGGCTGGACGCGCAAAGAGAGTTGGGTTGTGTTGGTCAGAGGAAAGTGGGATGTCTGATCCTACGCGATTTGCCTGCGCGAGTCGGTAGACAGGTTGGTTGACGAAGAATTAATTGAAGAATGGAAGAACTGCAGCGATGGTGCAGTGCAGTGATAAAGAAGTAGAAGGCGCGTCTGGTTTGGGTTCCGATAGCTGGTGGGAGTGTAATGGTGGTGAACGTTGGAAGGAGAGAAATGGAGGAGACGAGAGGAAGGAGAGCGGGAGGGACACTTGACCAGCGTTTTCTGCCTGGGCTGGGACCTTGGGGGCGTCGCGCCTGAGAAAACAACGGCACCGGCTTGGGCGTGTTACGCTAAACCACTTCGGGATGGCCCCTGAACATGAGCCACAATGCGACTGGTATGTATTGCTTTCGCTCATTGGCCGACCAGCGACCTGGCTTCAAGAGCTCTGACGGTGCCTGAAGGCCTCCAACTCAAAGACTTTGGGTCACCAGCTTGATTAAGGGACTATCATGTCTGTCCAGAAAGCGCACAAAGAGCAAGAACTTATATGGAACTAGGGGTATCAAGTCTGGATTTCCTTCTCGGCCGGATGGGCCCTGAACGAAGAATTGTCACCAAAAATCACCTAGCAGTGGATGATCGTACTCCCCCAAAGCCAACGGGGAATGCTTCGCCTGGTCCCAATCGTTTCCATCTGCCTAGCATCTGTGTTCAAACCCCGCTGTCAGCAGGATGCGTCGTATGGGCATCCCACCAACCTCCAGCGCCTCCGCCAACAGATTGCGGCCCGCGGCAGGTCGGCATTCTCTCGTCCGTACACTCCGCCGAGGTATCGTACACTGTCCTCTTTATTCTTCAACCTTCCATTTCGACTGTGATCTGCACCTCCTGACGATGTCGTTCATGCGGCTGCTTGCTTTGTAGACTGTGCTCCAGCGACCACGGGGGTCTTCTCATCCTCAGCGTTGACCTCTAGGTAGTGGTACACAACAATCAGGGCCATTGCACTAGAGCCCAGAACAATTGCTAGCTGGTACAGTTCGCCGTCGGAGATCATCGTGAGTAGCTGGTCTGAGATGTGTCCTAACGCGTTTTCGTGGTATCGGGAGGCTCTTGGGGCTAGGCACGGTCAGAGACAATTCTGCATTTGCTCGCCAGTCCTCCTTCTCCTTTCGATGTCAAGGCGACTCACACGCTTGGTTGATCGGCAAAGTGGGATGTTTGGACGTCTGTCGCGAATGTGGTCGGTTGCTGAATGCAAGCTGGTATTATGGCTGTTGCCGATTGGGGTGGAACTGGACAACTGGAGCTTCAATTGAAGGTACGTACCACCATGCGTCCTAACAAGGCCAGCGAGTTGGCTTGGCGCCCGTCAGAAGGTGTTCTCTCTCCCACACCCCGCCATACACGTGACCATCCTGGCGTCACTTCATCCTGGATTTCTGTCAGTCCCACTTTCTTCCTTTCGCCAAACCCCCACCATTTATCGACATCTTCGTCTGTGACGCCTTTGGTTGTCACCACCCTTCGAGCTCCCTGCTCGATCGTAGACTACTCGACACTGGAAGCGCCCAACCGACATCATGCCGCCCAAGAAGAACATTGAGAAGCCTGCCAAGGCCAAGGGCGCGCAGGCCGTGGCCGACAAGACCTTCGGCATGAAGAATAAGAAGGGTGGCGCCGCCCAGAAGCAGATTGCCCAGCTCAGCGCAATGGCCAAGTCTGGCGGCACGCCGGAGGAGAAGCGTAAACAGGCTGAGAAGGCTCAGCGCGAGAAGGAGAAGCGGGCTGCGGAGGAAGCCAAGAGGGAACTGGCCGACATGGTCAACAAGCCCGCACAAATCCAGAAAGTCCCATTCGGCGTCGACCCCAAGACTGTGGTGTGCATTTTCTTCAAGAAGGGCAATTGCGAGAAGGGCAAGAAGTGCAAATTTTCCCATAATGTCGAAGACGAGCGCAAAGTCAACAAGAAGAGTCTGTACACCGACACCAGAGCCGAGGAGGACGAGCAGAAGAAGGTCGAGACATCCGCGGAGTGGGATGAAGAGAAGCTCCGTTCCGTCGTCTTGTCGAAGAAGGGAAACCAAAAGACGACCACGGACAAGGTCTGCAAGTTCTTCGTCGAGGCCATCGAGGAGGGCAAGTACGGCTGGTTCTGGGTTTGTCCCAATGGAGGCGACAAGTGCATGTACAAGCACGCTCTACCGCCAGGGTATGTCACACGTTTCATCCACTCAGCACGTTTTGCTAACACCCCCCTAGTTTCGTGTTGAAGACCAAGGAGCAGCGAGCGGCTGAGAAGGCTTTGATGGATAAGTCGCCATTGAAGACGCTCACCCTCGAGGAGTTCCTGGAGTCCGAACGACACAAGCTTACAGGCACACTTACACCAGTAACGCCAGAGTCTTTTGCCAAGTGGAAGAAGGAGAGGTTGGACAAGAAGGCTGCCGAGGAGCAGGCGAAGAAGGCCAAGGAGGCCACTGGTCGTGCGATGTTCGAGAGCGGTACCTGGAAGGATGATGACGAGTCCAGCGATGAGGACGATGATGACAACGACGCCTGGAATATGGAGAAGATGCGAGCAGAGACCGAGGCTGCGCGGGAAAGAAAGGAGGCTGAACGTGTGGCTGCTCTCCACGGCACGGCTGTGGGCGCCATGCTGGAGTCAACGGCTCCCGTCGTCGAAGCGTCCGGGTCTTGAAAATGGCACACCCGACCCTCATGTTATTAGGACACCTGCTGAGCCGATAGCGCGACGCACAACGCCGATTCCGAGCACCCGTTACGACGGGTTTAACTGCAAAACGACGGCCGGAGCGGCACGATGCGATAGCATCCAGGTCGGCGAACCTGTCTACCGCTCGCCAACGACGAATGAAGTATGACTATTTCCCGGCAAAGGACATCGTATATCATTGCCATTTCTGTGGAAATGGTTCAAATGTCTTGATTCAGGTCGCACACTACACACTGTTTGACGCACTATTCTTCACTACAGGCGTCACTGCGTCTCAGAACTTCTCTACGTAGGGCCTGGTGTCGATCTCCTGTGTGAAGCCTGAACGGTGCTGTGTATGGAGATGCCAGTAATCCTCCGCAATCTATATTCCAGGTAGGGGTCAGTCAGTTTTGGGACTTCACATGATGCATGGATGTCACCTACTTGTTCTGGCTTGATCTTGCCGTCAGGCGCACCGTTGTTTGGTTCGTAGGCCTTGCCCCACGGTGTGTCGATGCCACCGTCGATGATGGCGTGGGCAACGTGGACGCCCTTGGGGTGGAACTCCCGAGCAAGAGATTGGCCAAGGGCGCGAAGGGCGAACTTGCCAGCGGCAAAGCCCCCGAACAGGGCGGATCCTCTCACCGATGCTGTAGCTCCCGTGATGATCAGGGTCGGCGGGTGAGGTGAGTCTGAGACGGAATCAAGGAGAAGCGGCAGAGTCCTCTGAGCGAATACAGCGAAGCCGCGTCTGTGAACGTCAGTCATGCCCCATGCTCTGCAATCTGAGACCCTGAGAGAACGTACGGCGCGGCGTTGAGGCTGGCATCCAGATCCTCGAGCTTGAGTTCGAGGAATGGAACCCGGGAGAAACCGCCGTTGACGTTGTAGATAGCGGCAGCCAGCTTTGAACCAGGCAGCTTCTGTTTTACGGTCTCGAAGGCTGAGCTCAGGGCCTTGGGGTCAGTGGCATCCGTGGTGATCCCGATGGCCTGGCCGCCGGACTCGTTGATCTCTTTGACAATCTCTTCGTAGCTTTCGGTTTTGCGTGCAAGAAGAACGACTGGGTAAGATTTGGCAAAGCGAACTGCGGCAGCTCGGCCTGGAGATTGATCAGTATGACTGGCTGAGCACGAGACCTCGAAGATGATTTACCCGTGCCGGTGCCAGCGCCAGCAATCACGGCATAGAAGGGTTTGGACGCCATCTCGATGTTGGTCAGCAGCGATTCCACAGGCTATGGGCACAAGAGGACGGACGGAGGTGAGACGAGTGAGGTTGGCTGTCGACGAGGGGTGAAAGGGCAGAGGTCTGGCCAACTTGTTGGTCGCTCAACGTTGCTCCAGGTGCAAGGCTTGATATAGGGCAAATCGAAAGGCTGCTGGGATGATGTATGATACCATCATTGTCTCCAAATGCGCCATTCGAATCATTGAGAGTCTGAAGACGTGATGGTGCATCATCTGTGTGACGATTAATAATACAGATGCATGCGCTCCCCGGAGTCCGGCTTGGTGGGCTCGAAGAGGTGGTATCAGAAGAAGGCGGGGCAACAACGCAACAAGTGCATGCAACTCATTGAGAGTGCTGATGAAAACCACAAGACCGAGTTTGACCGTACGGGATGTTCACACTTTTTGTTGGATGAGCACATGATAAGAAATCCAAGACGCCCATGTTTTTGATTGTCCTCCCCTGTGATCATCATCTGAAATGATGTACAGGCTCCAATACCATGTTCATTTCACGTTCATACTGAGACGGGAGCTGGACCATGTCAGGTGCTGACAGGTGTCAAGAGCTTGGCCAGATGTTGCCTGCCTCTGAAGGTATACCTTTTTTGGTAGGTTATACATCGACCTCGGCGTCAAACTCTCAGTCTGAACAACTTCATCGTGAAATTCACCCTACGGTCCTTCCTGGACGCATCCAACTGACCGGGACGCGTCGAGCATCTCGCCAATTCTCACCGTCATTTAATTCATAATGGCGTCGACGCGCGAACGAAAGGCTACTCCCGCCACTTTAACACACTCAAGAAAGCACCTCAAGACACAGCAGCCGACTCTTGACACCTTCTTCGCCCCGCGCCCACCAGAGGCACTGAAAACAACCTCACCCAAAAGGCTTCGCCCTTCTTTCCAGCCGACTACCATCGAGCCACAGACGCCGACGTCGTCTAGATTTGAGATTGTCCTCGGCTCGTCTACCCCTACGCAGAGAGTGACCGCTCCCCTCGGCGCCCCGTACGCAGCTGGCGACGACAACGACATCGCATCAGACCTCTCACCACAATTTCGCCGTCTAGCAGCACAAGCCGCCCAGACCGTGAGCCTCAGCAAGCCAGCCTCGCCAGCCGTCAGCAAGCCAGCCTCGTCAGCCGTCAGCAAGATCAGCAACCACGCGCCTGTCGCAAGATCATCGCCAGAAGCAGACACAGCAGCAGCAGCAGCAGCCGCAGACCCGTCCTCCACCCAGAAGCGCAGGCGCGGCCGTCCAAAAGGCTATCGTCCCAGTCTCGGCCGCGTCGTCGGCGAAGACGAGGCCGGCGCGCTCCAACCCAACGCCCGCCAGACCCGCACGCCAAAAGTGGTGAGCTACTACACGGGCAAGCGGCGCGGCCGGCCGCCCAAGACAGAGGCCCCGGGGCCGCGTGAGGTGTACGAGACGCTCGCGCCGCGGTTTCTACGGTTCGTGTGTGAGTGGGCCGGGTGCAGCGCCGAGCTGCACAACTTTGAGACGCTGCGGCGGCATGTGAGCGTCGTGCACGCGCCGACGGGACGGCAGAGGGTCTGTCAGTGGGCGCGGTGCAGGCAAGGCAGGCGCGAGTTTGCCACGGCGGAGGAGATGCGCGCGCACTTGGAGGAGGTGCACATGCCGCCCATCGTGTGGCAGGCGGGCGAGGGCCCGGTTATCACGGCGAAAAAGTACATGGTGGACGATGCCACTGGGGAGTTGCCGCGATATCTCTTCGACAAGACGGGCGTGCAGGTCACGCCATCGGTCAGGGACCAACAGCTGGAAGATGCCCCGACGTATAGGGCGAACAGGAAGAAGCTCAGGATGCTTCTGCTGCTACGCGACCAGAACCTCACTAGCGAGGTCGAGAGTGGGGAGGACAGTGAACTCGAGGGTCCATTCGCATGAACGGAGGGTACCTGGGTAACAGTGTGATCCGGATGAGGAAAAAAATGATGGTGTTTGTGCTGCGCCTCAACCGGAACATTCGGCGACGTGGATCTCAATACGGGCGTCGAGTGTCAGGTTTAACGAGATCACCATCTTACACGACCAGGCCCGGTGGTAGGCCGAGTATAGCGTTTCCAATATACCCGCCGCATTTTTGTTTTGCATTTTTGGGAGCAACAAGGCCCTGCAAAGCCCTGTGAAGCAACGAAACCCAGCAAGTGTAGGATCGAAGGCCACAACACGAGCGTCAGTGTGGAGATGCTCAGTAGACACTGGAGTTCAGCAGCGTCACGGTGGAGGCCATGTGATTCGCCTTGTGCTGCAACATAGTCCCACCTGCAAAGAGCTCCCCCATAGCTGTGACACTCGACGCCAGGTTCTGACATCATCCGCCAGGGCTTCTTCTTGTGGGGAGCAGCACGTACATGTAGGTCGGTCGGTATGCATGGCATAGGCCTTCGTGCGCATCGTAACGCAGGAGGAGCTGGGATAGTGGGGGTTAGATGCGCGGTTGGGACTGCATGACTCCATCGGCAAGGAAGCTGAGGCACCACGACAAAGGCACCGCGCAAAGGCACAACGTAGTCCTCTGGCCAGCTCTGGTTCCAAATCAGCCAATGGGCCGACAATGCGCCAGGACGAGAGGAGTCAAGCGGCCGAAAGAGCCCAGAACCGAACGTGGTGGATTTCTAAGCTCTCCGCCAGAAAGGAGGGGGGGCGGCGTCGGTCCGGTTGAGCGAACGAGCGAGTGTAAAAGCGGAAAGGGGCGATCGAACTTTGGGCGGGGAGGGAAATGCTGTTGGAGAGCACGCGTGGGGACACAGCCGAACAGCCCAGGCAGGTTGTTCACCAGCCAGCCGGCCAACACAGAAGGCGAGATAGGTACTTCTCGGTTGTGGCAATGGTTGCGCACGCAGGCGTACTCGTCCAGACAGTAATTTTTTTTTTGCCCTCCTCACTGGAGACGACTCTGATTGCCATGTCTTGCTGCCTGCCCGATTCTACCTGGCGGTGTCCCACAAGTGGGCGAAGAAAGGGGACGCCAGCCCAGGCAGATAATAAGAAGGTAGTGAGTGGTAGTCGCATGACTGGCCTGATGGAGTAATTGCTGGCGATTTCGCTGTCTCGCATGCTGCGGCCTTAAACATGGAATATGTAGCATCCGAGGTGTGTCAAAGAAGCAAGCAGCGGCCAGCCGCTCATTCCAGCAAGGGTCTTGAATGTTGATGATGAAGTTCACGCTCCAATCTCGAATGCCAAAGGCAGGCCACAGTTTTGAGTGTTATACTGCTGGAACAGTCCGGGCCAGGGACGAGAATGAGCATTGGAGATCCTACGAGGTAGGCATTTGGATGTCGCCAAGTCGCATGGAGAGAGCAATGCTCGCTCGGGGAGGCTTGGTGCCTTCTCGGTGGGACAAGATGCTGCACGGAAGGCTGTGGTGCCCGCCACTGATCCACCATTAGGGGTGTTGGGGGTGCTAGGGGCTTCCATGGCTGGGGGTCGCTGGACACCGCAATCAATCCCGGCCTGCCAGGTCGCTCTTCGCTCTGTGATTAGGTACCTACCTAGTAGGTAGGAGGCACCTGAGAGAGGGGAAGGAAAAGCCGCACCTGGCCTGCCCGCTATAGGTAGACAACGCCTGGCCTGTCCTGTCCGCCTTGGGTAGCACACACACGCGCCTGCCACCCCCATTCCATGAACCCCCCCCCCCCCCCCCATGCATGCTCATCTGGCCACTGGGTTGGATCCGTAAGCCGGCCTGCCCATCCTATCCTCCTGCACCCGCTGCTGCGACTCCCGCCATCCGCCATCCGCCATCGCCGGCTCTCGACCTCGCCGTTCCCCAAACTGTCCTCTCACCAACACCAGGCCTCATCGACCTGCTCCGCCAACCCTACATTTGCACCCTCCCTCGAGCCATGGCAGCCCTGGTCGCATGACCGTCACAACACCGAGATGCCTGCCTCCAAACCCCAGAATGGGAGCACGACCAACCAATTCAACCAGAGGCTAAAGAACCTCTTCCGGATCAACGCCAATGGTGCCAGCAAAGATAGCGAGAAGACAAAAGACAAGGACGCCGACAAGACATTTGCACAAGAAAGCCCTCCCGCCAAACCCGAGAAGTCATCCATCCGTAACACGTCGTTCTTCAAAACCACCGTCGGTCGCCTGAGAACCAACACGTCCGCCAGCGAGGGCAACCCGCTCGACGAGGCCCTCAGTCCGACAGCCCACGCGAACCCCTACTTTGCCCACCAAGGCCAGCCTGGCCTGCGTCACCACAATGAGGGCTCCGTGCCACCGAGCCCGCCTGACACACCGAGCTTCAAGGCCGAATCGACCAACGGCGGCCCCGACAAGCACGCCACCAACGCAGGCCGGGAAGAGCTGGCGAGGAAGCTTAGAAGGGTTGCCAGCGCCCCGAACGCCCAGGGTCTCTTCTCCAAGGCTGCCAAGGGAAAGGGCAGCGACGAGCGTCCCGCCACGGCCGAGCTAGGCAAAGACCCGGTCGTCGTTCACAAGGACTCTGGTACTCTCGAGCTTGTCAACTCGTCCGACCTGAAGGCCGTCTCCACCGTCGGCAGCACGTCGACATCATCCAACCCAGATAAGGACGTTCTCGCCGGCCTGCCGCCGCCGAACAGGACCGCGCTAGCATTCAGGCGGACGTACAGCTCCAACTCGATCAAGGTCCGCGACGTCGAGGTTGGGCCTCAGAGCTTTGATAAGATAAAGCTCATCGGCAAGGGAGATGTGGGCAAGGTCTACCTGGTACGGGAGAAGAAGAGCACGCGGTTGTATGCCATGAAAGGTACGTCTGCCGTCCTGTTTGGCTCGGCAGTCATTGCTAACAACCCGTCCAGTCCTGAGCAAGAAGGAGATGATCAAGCGCAACAAGATCAAACGAGCCCTGGCCGAGCAGGAGATCCTGGCTACGAGCAACCACCCCTTCATCGTTACTCTATACCATTCCTTCCAGTCGGAGGACTACCTCTACCTGTGCATGGAATACTGCAGCGGTGGAGAGTTCTTCCGTGCGCTGCAGACACGGCCAGGCAAATGCATTCCTGAGGAGGATGCCCGGTTCTACGCTGCCGAGGTCACGGCTGCTCTAGAGTACCTTCATTTGATGGGTTTCATTTACCGCGACTTGAAGCCAGAGAGTAAGTGAGGTTCTCCTCCGTCGTCAGATCGCTCCTGACGTATCTAGATATTCTCCTCCACCAGTCGGGTCATATCATGCTGTCAGACTTTGATTTGTCCAAGCAGTCTGATCCTGGCGGTAAGCCGACCATGATCATTGGAAAGAATGGCAGCACCAAAGAAGCGTCCCTCCACATTGACACGAGATCATGCATCGCCAACTTCCGCACCAACTCATTCGTGGGTACGGAGGAGTACATCGCGCCAGAGGTGATTAAGGGCAGCGGCCACACGAGTGCGGTGGATTGGTGGACACTGGGTATTCTCATTTATGAGATGCTTTACGGCACAACGCCCTTCAAGGGAAAGAACAGGAACGGGACGTTCGCCAATATCCTTAGGGAGGATATCCCGTTCCCAGACACTGCTGGCACGCCGCAAATTTCCACGTAAGTCTGCCCAGTGATGGAGGGATCAGGCTATCACTAACATCCGCAAAGTCTTTGCAAGTCTTTGATCCGGAAGCTGTTGATCAAGGATGAAAACCGAAGACTCGGCGCCAAAGCTGGCGCTTCTGACATCAAGGCGCACCAGTTCTTCCGCACTACGCAATGGGCCCTGATTCGACACATGAAGCCGCCTATTGTACCCAACCAGGGCCGCGGTATTGACACGGTCAATTTCCGCAACGTCAAGGAAAGCGAGAGTGTCGATTTTGGTAGGTCTCGGCCGATGAACCTCAAGGGGGTTCCTTTGGACAGTGGATTGGCAACACCTGGCGAGCCTGTTGTGGACCCCTTCGAGGAGTTCAACAGCGTCACCTTGCACCATGACGGAGATGATGACCACCATCACCAAGGCCATCACCATCAAAGGTAGTCAATCGGCTTGGGGCTCTTCAAGTCTTGAGAGGTGGAAGGATGTGCTTCCGCACGCCATGCTATGCTGTACTACATCACTGGAGCTGTACGCCGCCTCCCAGACCTGGAACTCGCAACATGGACGAACACGCTTGCGGGTCCACAACACATTACCACGCACCTGCACACACACGCACACAATGGCACGCACCAGAGTGTCATGAACTCTCATTAACGCCTGGAAGAGGCTGAACATATATGAAAGGGGGAATGGAAAGGGGAGGGCGTGCGGAGGACGGTGAATTTCGGATGTCTCTGTGACCAAGTCCATTCTGGTCGCATCACGGGTCGACTGATTATCTTGGCTTCTTATTGCGCTCAAAACAACATGCTTGCGTCTTGGGAGTTATGATCGGCCTGGCGTTATAGGGAAAGAAAGGGAACATATGCCAATTATTTTCCAGCTGCTGTCACTGTAACTGCTATGGATCACTTTACCTGCACATTAACGAACTGTCGAAGTCTCGAACCACTGCTCGGTCGACAATGTGGATGCCGACGTCATGTTATACCGACCCTATGAAATGACGACAAGATGTGAGCTGGGAGGATCTGCTGGTCCTGCTCAATTTGGAGACGGAGGAGCGAGACTTTTCGGTCACGAAACGGAGCACTTCACGGAGCAAAATACCAAAACATACAACACCGAGGATTCGCTGGTGGTCACCCACCCAACTACTAGTTCGGCCCTTACTGGTTTATCAAAGGGAGAGCGGACGGGATCCCGAGTTTTCCAGTAGGTATGGTCGTATGTGGTGGAGCGGCCATTGTGGGAAGTTGATGTTGCAAGATGATGGGAGACCAGTGATCCATTTCAGACCCGATCTATCCATGAAACGCTCAGTCTGTGATCGACTTGGCAGTGATGTCCGTTTATTATCTGGATTAACGACACATAGAGGATGAAATTGCCTCGGCTCCCAAGTTTTATGCCATTCAATAATGCATTGTTGACCAGCATGAGGTCAAGCCGCAACCGATGTCGTCGTTTGAAGGTTCCTACCTGACGTGAAGATGATTTTATCATTGGGTTGGTTGACTCTTGTCATTGGTCGACGTGCAACTGCGGGGAGCGCCTACGCACAGTACCCAGTTACATCAACCGCGGGGTCCGCGCCAAACTTCCCTGTGCAGCGCGTTCCCGAGGAGCCCATCGCGTTCAAAGCCACCAGTCTGCCGCCTCTTCCCAGGCTGACCGCTCCGACTTGCGCCATGGAACAGTCCCGCGACGCCCACCTGCTGGCGCAGCAGCCCGATCTCTCGCCTCTGGAACAGGAGGTTCTGGAAGAATATGAGCGGCTAGCGGAGAATATGAAAAAGGTACCGCCCCCTCCTGCGCTGGAAGAACGTGGCGGGGAAGACAGTCTGCTGACGGAGGTTCTGATGCTGCTAGCTGGCGTCCGTATTGGACAATATGAGTGGCCTGCCGAGTACCGAGATCCTCGACGGGCTGAGGGAGCTGGAGCGCAAGACGAGTCTGGTGTTCACGCTGTTGAAGGCGAGCGTGTATAGCATTGTGCTACAGCAGGAGATTGATTGGGGCGGCCAGCACGAGGAGAACTAGAACGGTGGGATGACAGCTTGATTGCAGCTTGGAACCCATCACACAAGCTCTGCGGCAAGAGCAAGGCAGGGCATCACGATAAGCGACACATGGAGCAGCGGTGTAGGACGGACAGGACACGATACCCAGGCAGAAATAGAGACACGAGACGAATCAGATATGACACTTGGGAGAGATCTAGCTGCGTCGCTGGCAATGTACAGTGTTGATACAACAATCCAACGAGAATGACGAACCCCCCTTGTTTTAATACACAGATCCACCGTAGTAGACCTTTCTCACATCCACCAGCTTCTTCCCCCGCCCGATGGCGATCTGCTCCGGGTCGGGCTGGTTCGTCAACGCCTCGAACGCCGCCTTGACGGTGTTCATGGGATTTTTGGATCGCGGAATGTTGCCCGCCAGGTCGTGAATGCCAGCAAGGCGAGCCATCTCGAAGAGACGATGCGACACGCGGAGGCCGAATCCTGTGGGATTGTGTTAGCTGTGTCATCGACGGGAGGTGGACAGACGGATCAGAGGTTGTAAGCACATACCAGGAGGACGGGCCTCGAGCTTCACGACTGTGCCGGAAATCTTCTTCTCCACCGTGCCGAAGATGGTGCGGTTCTCGTACCGCCGGATAGGCCTCATGTTGCGCAGGGCCAACAGCCGGGCAGTGGTGGAAGCGATCAGAGCATCCGTGGACTTGGCCATGCCCAACCCCAGTCGGCCGTTCGAATTGCCAGCCACGACCATGACGCTGTAGCTCCGGATCTTGCCGAGACGCGTCTGGTTAGAGACAGCACGAGAAACCAGCTTCTTGGTCAGGATGCTGAGAACCTCCTTCATCTTAAAGTTCAACGCCTTCTTAACGTCTCCGTACTGGCCAGACGAGTCGAGACCCTGATCCTCGGGGTCCTCGACGTCTTTGTACTGACCCTTCACGCCCTCAACTTTGCCCAGCTCGGGTGCCAACGCTGAGCTGCCGACCTCGTTGTCGATCGCCTTCCACACCTTGAGCCTGTCCGTCTCCACAAGCGGGCTGGCATCTTTCTCAAACTCTGCCTCGAGTTCCTCGTAGAACGTCTCATCAATCTTGTCCCACCACTCCTCGCCCGGGATCACGGCGTTGGGATTCGCCTTGCGCTCGGCTTGGGCGCTCGCCCAGAGCCCATCGTCCGACTCCTCGATGATGTACTTTCGCCTGAGCTCAGGGTTGTTCTCGAGCTCGACGAGCTCCTCCTCCGTGAAGTCGATCTTGTCAGGGTTGGTCTGCTTGACCTTGCGCAGTGCCCGCGCAACGGCCTTGCCGATGGTATCCTGCATCTTGGTCTCGGCATGGTCGGCGAGTGTGTCGATGTACTTGTCCACCCACTCCTTCTTGCCGAGGAACTCAGCCTCCCGCGGGACGATGGGCTGTTTTGGCTTGGCATCGATGACGGGCTGCACGGTCGCGAAGTCCTCGAGGTACTCGAAGCGGTAGGGATCGTTTCGTATCCGGCCCTGCAGGGTCAAGTCCTTCGGGTCGATGGCGGCCTCGCCAGCCTCGAGAGCCTCGAACTGCTCCGGGGTGTACTTCTCGCGAAGAAACTCCTTCTCCTGCTCGGTATAGTCAGGGAAGTTCTGGGCGGCAAAGGCCTTCGTGGCGGAGGGCTTTGTCAGGCCTAGCTCGGATGCCTTGATGTTCTTGAATCGTGACCTCTTCTTGAGCTTCGCGGCGGACGTCTGAAAGGAGCGGCAAGGGGCAGAGGAGCTTGTCGGGGCGGACTGTCGTAGGCACCGCGAGAGGAGACCCGATGTCGGGCGTGCCGCGTTCATGGCTGCTGAATATCTGAGGCTCACGCCTGCTCAGATTTGGCAGCAATTGGACGTCGTCGTCGGGTGTGGATTCGAGATGTCGGCGAGCAGGAGGTGCAGCTTGATGTCGCGCGACACTCGAATTGGACAATTTTTTGGACCACGAAGGAGATCCACAGAGCTCTGTGTCCTACACTGTCCATTGGCTGCGTCAAATCCAGACACGAAGTCACATGATTGGGTGCTCTTCGCTTATCTAAGCAGGATTCACCTGCCGCCCAGGTGGTTTGGACCGGATCAGCCCCTCGCAGTAACTGAATGTGCCCATGGGCATCCAAGCTCCCATGTGACCAGGCAAACTTAACCCATATCACGAAGAAGGAGCGCTCTACAGCCATCTCTTCCTCATGTCACAGCGAACATCCTCACAGGCATGTGCGCCGTTTATCGAGCCATCGGGCCACGCCTTTGGAGGAATCAGTCGACTCTGGCGCAACTGTGAAACACAGACCAAACCCCTTTACTGACTGCCCCCCGCCCGGAGATGGGGGAGCACGGCACCCACGTCGCGCCTCCACAGGGCTGCTCGCTCCACGCCGTGCACTGGTCGCCAGCGCCTGGTCCAGAGCTTGGTCCGTACCAAGCCCTGGAGTCGTGCGAGTACGATCTGACGTCTCCCGTTTCAAGACCCATCGCCGAGTGGCCTCTCTTTCTTCTCTCCTTGTCTTTCAGAGTTCAACTTCAACCACCTTTTCGTACGCGTTCATTCTCTGTCGTTTCCTGCCAGTTCGGCAACCAGCCAGTTCGCATCGTCCATTTCTTCATCCGGTGACTGGCGCACTCGATACTCGATACCCCATCCCAAGTCCTCGTCCTTTTGACCGTCTATACCTTTGTAATACACACTTGCGCCGATAAACGCGTGACGGGGCAAACGTCGATATCACCCAGTACTACGGTCTACCTGCGATCGCACAAGGAAACCATCGACGGTTACGAACGAACGCTCAGTCGCCAGTAAACCCACACTCAGCACATATCAACACCCACCCATAATCGCCCACCATGAGCGGCCAATTTGGCTTCATGAAGTCCATTGGGGCCAGCGACGAAGCTGTGGCCACTTTGAACGACCAGCCGATGCTTTTTACGATTCTCGTTGTTGTTCTTGTCGGAATCATCGCGCAGTGCCTTCTCATCTGGTACATCCACTTCGCCACCTTGAAGCCGGAACAAAAGAAGAAGAAGGAGAAGAAACCGGCGGGGAAGAAATGAGGGTGGCAGTGTTGCTTTACGATAAGAGCGGACAATCATAGGACTTGGTTGTTGCAGAGGACCATCATCAACCCTGCTCGAATAGCGAATTTGAATATATGATGTTTCTTGGGAGCCGAGCCTGTGTCATGCCGGGCATGAAGGCACGGCTTCTGTACAAATTCTTCTTCGTCACGCTCCAGAGACCACAAGTCGGTTCGACGGCAATGTGCAGCGAGATGCATTATTTCTATCTATAGACTTTTACCACTCGAATTCAGAATGATCATCCATGTCCCATGCGTCCCACATGTCTTCATCTTCGTCTTCACATGCAGGTTGTCCTGTCCACTCCCCAAGACCGTGCAAGCCAGCCGTAGTGGAGGGGAGGGGCGGCATCCTGCAGGCCACCGGCCGGTCGCCAGTGTCGTGTTTGGGTTCATCCGGCCAGGGCTGGTCAGAGATGACAAGGCGTCCTCCAGAATGCTGAATGAATCCTTGCGCAGATCTCAACGCCGGATTATCCTCCCACTTACCGTCGTCATCCCAGGAGTCTTCACTGATGGGGCTTCTGGCCCTGCAAAATTCGCCAAACCGTCCATCAGGGCTCGGCTGTGACCTCTGAGGTGTCCCATGAACCTGGGAACTCGATTGGAAAGTGTAGCCACACTCAAAGCTGCTCGATTCCTTATCCCAGTCAGACCACAGTACGTCTCTGTGCTCAAAATCTGTAGTAGTAGGAAGAAATGTATCAGGTAAGTCAGGAATTGCATGCTCCGCATGGCCACTCGAACAATCAACTCCATCTCGAGGTGGTTCTTGCCATGTTTGCGAGGTGTCACTGAGTCTCTCATCCCAATCACTCCACAAGTCTGCTCCCAAAACACCAGATGCTCGACCATCGTGACTTGTGGAGAACTCCATGATGTACTGCTCGTGATTTGAGGTGCTCTCTGGGACCTTGTGTGCTACTGAATCTTCATTGAGCTCGCCATGCTTCGTAGAGGCATACGATTCGGTTGAGGCAAACGTGGCATTTATGCTTCTCTTGCAGATCTGCTTTGTGGTGTTGCTCTTCGTCTGTACCATACGTGGTGCTTTCAACTTGCTGATGATTAGCTTCCACAGTAGCTTTTGCAATTCCGAAGTATCTTTTGAAGCTTTTCTATTGGTTTCGTCGGCGATATTCTTGCTCGAATTCACTGACTGTGCCCACTCAAGTCCAGTTATGGCCGACGCAATGGAGGGTAACAGCTTAGACCTGTGTGCGACGGCCTACATCGTGTTAGCTGCGTCTGGCTGGCTATAGTGATTCCAGACGTACAGCCAGGTAATCCATGTGAAAGACTGCAGGGACTAATGTTGTCAACGGTATCGGCATGCCCTGTCTTGCAAGTTTGATTCCTTTCGAACTCTTACATTGTCCTGTGACGAGCGCCATGATGCCGACTTCTACAAGTCTTTCTAGGGATGACTTGCCCAGAAGCCGGTCCAGTACTTGAACAGTGGTGAGGTGGATAGAACTGACAAGCCCTGAAGGGGGTCTGTGAACGCCGAGTTCATCATCTTGTTCTGTGGACTGGCACACTAAAGTCGGAACCTCTCTTACGAGCTCCCCTTTCCTCTTTCGTGAGGCCGACCCAGAGGCCCGCGAGATTCTATGGAACTCTTCGTCAGAATTGTGCACGAAGTCAAGGGAACAAGTTAGTCGTTCGAAACCGGCAACTTGAGCGCCTTCCGGGGGCAGAAGGCTTGAATGAAGACTAGGGTGGTAAAGACGAAATACGGCAACATTTGATGGGAGGCTAACGTCGTCTTCGCGGGCAAGGCGCAAGCCAAGTTGGCTCCAAAGCTGTGCCATGTCAGAGGTGGCCCATTGCGATCTCGAGGGCAAACATACGGCGAGATGCCCGAATACCCAGGCCGATCTTTCCAGCACTGCTGCAAAAACATATTTCCCGTCGCTTTCCACATGAACGTTGGTGTGCAACTCAAGCCTGCAGGCACCCGTTCGTGCAACCCAAAGGCTACCCTGGCAGACCAGGTCCTTCAGGGTTGTTGAGGTAGGTATGGCCGGAAAATCACTAGGAAGATCGAGGATCATGACGGATCGGATCTTGAGCCGCAAATTTTCATATTCGTCGAATAGCAAGAACGAGTCAAGGTGTGTAGGAACAGGAGCCATAGTAACGGCTTGCTAAGGTTGTTGGTGTGAGTCAGATCGTTCTCGCTTGTTCGTGCCCCCGAAGACAGTTACGGCCAAGGTGACTCTGCGCTGCCTAATATTTCACGAAAGGGGCGATCTCCCCGCTGCTTTCCCTTCTTGTGTCAACATGGTGATTTTGCCAACTGTTGCACTCACGCGAGGAAGGGGTGCCCGACTGCCAAGCCACGCGACGTGGGCACAGTGCTAGGACATGGCTTGTTACGCCTGTTTGGTGGAGTTGATTATGTGTCTACAGTGCACAACCCGCTTGCTCGGCATGTGTGGATCGGTAATGCCAATGCTCCCTGCTTAATGACTTCACTCCTCACGGTCACCTGGATCGTCTCACTGGCACCATCACCAATTACCAGCGTTTCTTTCTGTATCATCAGCTCGAACGCGGCCTTGGCTCAACACCCTTTGTCGTGTCCCGGGTGCAGGTCCTACTCAGTCCTTATCTGCCTGCGACCGGCGCGATCAACCTGCACGTCTGATCTGATCGGCAAGTCCAGATACCCACCCACTACCCGAACCTGGTGACCCAACGACCAACTTCCACTCCTTGGGTATCGCACAACAACAGAAGGGCATGAGATCATGCCTCTTGCAAACGTGGGATCGCTGGTCCTTTGGCACGTCATTTTCTTGACCCATCTCGTACATATCAGCCTCTTCTTTCGATACACGGAACCCGAGTTCTTGATCCCTCTTTACATTGTCGTCAAGGTCCTGGGATATAGACCAGATAATCTAGATGCTCCTGCGCAAGCATGGCCCCCCCACGTACCGAAGTGGTACAACATGTAGCTTCAAACGGCTACGAATCGCCTGACGAGAACAACCTGCCCTTTTTATTCAGTGTCCCCCCTCCCACCAAACCGGCCAGCACGTCACCTGTTACTGATGCTGCCCCCAAACAATCTGGCTCTGCTCACGAGTCGTCTGAAGCTGTTGCAAGGGGTGCACCGACCTCGTCGTCCGGCCCAAGGTCCCGCCCAGCGCTTGCACCTTCTCATGGCTCTAGTCTCAACGGGATACTAGCAACCGCTGCGACGAAGCCAAATGGCAAGGTCAGCCTTCGAGATCGAATCGCATGTCATCAGTGGACATGGTTCGCCATGGTAAGCCTTGTCTCCGATATCTCTGAAACCACTGCTGACGTGAAAATAGACAATGGTAAACCCTCCATGAAGAGCTTGTTGACCTGGACTGATCATTGCAACCACAGGCTACCGGTGGCATCGCTAGCGTTCTGCACTCGCGTATGTTCCATTTCAAGCAGCCTCAAAGGGAGCACTCGCTAACCATTGTTGCAGTGTCATATCGTAGCGCTTGGCTGGACGGAGTTGGCATTGCCTTTTTCATATTCAACATTCTCCTCTTCATGACAAATTGTGGTCTTCTCTTGGCCCGCTTCCGTCTGCGACCAGGCTCTTTCATGAACTCATTTACTGATCAGATGGAGTCTCTATTTATACCATCATTTGTGGGTATCAGCATTGCTTTAGTGCCTTATTGAGGCTGACGTATCGCAGTTTGTCTCGTGCGTGCCTCGCTCCCTCTTCCCAACGATCTCTAACCTCTCAGTATTACCGGAATCATGATAAACACTTGTCAATATGGAGTTCCCCACACCGGCCCTTGGTTACTTCGAACCATGGAGGTCATGTTCTGGATCAACCTAGCACTCAGTGTCATGGTTAGTGCTACTATCTACCTGATTCTCTGGTCCACCTTGTGAGTTTGGAATCTTCCAGCCGGAGCCCTTGTCTGACGGGAGGTCCAGAATTTTCCCTATTCACATGATGACACCGGTCTGGGTGTTTCCGGCTTACCCATTGCTTCTCAACGCCCCCTTCGCTGGAAATCTCATTGCTTCTGCCGTGTCGTCGGGCCAAGGGCTCACCGTCAACACAACAGCCGTTGCACTTAGCGCCATTGCGGCGCAAGGAGCAGGTTGTCTCATCGCTTTCATGATTTCATCGGCCTTCATCTACAGATTGATGACCCAGAAACTGCCCAGAGATGCGCAGCGGCCTGGTGTCGTAGGTGCCATCCCGTAGTGCGTGAAAGTCTCAAATAGCTAACAGTACCGTAGTTCATCTCGATCGGACCATACGCTTTTACTGTTGCAGGGATTGGTATGTTACTATGATTCCAAAAGTCCGCTTCCGTGACTGACGCCTTGCAGTTCAGATATCAAGTCAAGCAGAGGTGGTGTTGCCTGAGAACTTTATGGGCACTGATTTAGCTGTGCCGATAGTCAAAATCATGGCTGTCATGATTGGCCTTTGGCTGTGGGGTCTTTCTATGTGGTTCTTCCTCGTGTCGGTTGGTTCATTGTGGAAATACGCCAAGCCGGACAGGACAATGCCTTTTCACATGACATGGTGGTCGTTTGTATTTCCGAACACTGCCTTGATCACAGCCACGGAGGCGATGGCGAAGGCGTTTGAGAACGGGGGGCTTATGATCTTGTCCTGCGTCATGACGGGGTGCTTGATAGTTGTCTGGGCGGCGATCTTTGTGACCATGCTCGTATGCCTGAAGCAACGAAAGTTGCTGTGGCCCAAAGATGATAAATAGGGGACATAACAGCAGATTCCCGCCCGACCTATTGGCAAGTATGATCAGGAGCTTGTATGGATATTTCATTATTCAAAAGACATGCCTTCGAAATCCTGTGTGCACGATTAAACATCACATCGTTAATTCTGACAGTGCATGTGGTTTGAGAAGAGGAATGGGCCTCTGGACGACCCTTCCGATTGACTCGGCTTTGTCGCACGGTGGTTTTAATCTACGGTGCCGCTGCCAGCGAGCCACAGCGGCTGAAGCCGCTAATGAACCTGCCATGTGTCCACCTCAACCCCAACACCGTCAACGACCCTCCAGAATTCGCCGCATTCATATAGAGAACGCGCACAGCACACAAGCGAAACACACGATCAGAGACCACCGCTTCAACTTGTCTCACGGATACTGAGAAGAGAATTCGAGTCGCAGTTCACTCGGTCGATAGGCATGTCGTGGGACTCAAAGTCGGCGCAGCATCGCCGCCAAAAGAGCTCCGTTTCTCAGAAGAACCTCCCTCTTCTCACACGACAGCAGGCGAAGCCCGCGTTCCGGCCCAAATCTAGCCACGTCGAGGACAGCTTCCTACAAGACTTTCTCGACCCATCGTTCGACCCGGCTGTCTTTCTCAACACCACTCTGCCCTCGCTCCAGCATGGCTCGACCTCCAAAGGTGCCGACCGGGCGGTACCCCTCGCCGACCTTTCAAATGAGACGCAGACGCTGCTCTCGCAACTCAATGCACACACGGCCCGCCTATCGACCACGCTCACCCAGCTGACAGACGATATTCTTCGGAGCGGAAGCCGTCTCGCCTACCAGGTCGAGCTCCTCCGCGGCGAAACGCTCAGCTTCGCCGAGACGATGAATGAGAGGCTCCAGCCCGACATTCAAAAGTTCCTGCCCGAAGGCCTACCCGACGCAAGCAAGGAGGGCGCAGACGTGAAAAGACGTCCTTCGGCCGCCTCGACGACGCCCACTGCCGCCGCCGCCTCGGTCGCGACGCCCGCGCCTGACGAGGAAGCATCCGTGAGCGCAGAGGCGGCGTCGCTCCCCAACGAGCCTACGCACGTGAAGCAGCTGCGGACGCTGACGCTCGTGCGGTCGCGGCTGGATTCCGTCATCAAGACGTTTGGTGACGCGATGGAGTTTGTCTTTCCGCCGTCCGAGCTCTCTGCGGCATCGGGCTTCTTGTCTGTCTCAGCGCCGGAGCCTGGCACGGGAAGTTTCAGCAGCGGGGCCGGGGAGCAGCAGAATACGGAGGAGAAGGGCCAACAGGTGCTCAAGAAGCTGCGGGAGGAGGTTGCTGACCTTCTCAAGGGAGATGACGCCATTGCTGGTATCGAGAAGGCGGCAGAGCGAGTTGAGGAGCTGAAGGAGTTGACGATGGTGTGGAAGGGTACGGCGGAAGAGAATGGACGTGTCAGGTTCATCGAGGGACTGGCGAAGATGGTGGAGGAGCGACACCGGGAGCTGTTGAGGGAGGCAGAGGACACTGCAAAAAGGGAGACCGGTGAGGGGAACAGGCCGAGGAAGGGAAGTGTGAAGGCCAAGGCAGAGGAGGCGAAGACGATCCTCGGAGGGTACGGCTTGATGAGCCAGCTCCAAAAACTGCGAAGCGGACTGTAGTGAGCGACAGACTGGTCATATTCTTCTAACATCAGGCAAAGTATCATTGGTATAGGTTGACCAAACAAGTGGTTCGTTGCTCAGCTGCTTGGGCTGACGATTCATCAATAAACTACCGTCGGTAGGCTTTTTCCTGCACTGAATACTCGTACGCGAATCTAGGGTTGTCCGAAAGAACATAGACCTCAAGCAGCGTACTGATCAACTTGGCTCGTGATCTGCATTGTTTGTACTATAGTAATATATTTTGTAGACTTCAACTCCTTTGCTGTCTCTGTCATGCACAAGACGCAGAGCTTATGCATAGCGTTGTGCATTGATGCACAAAGTAGTAGGCTCCTCGCCATTGGCCCGTCGCTGTTGAGCTTGGGCCATCTCCATTGGTCGGAAATGGCGGCCTGTGCAGCCATCAAGTCCCCTAGCCACAGGAGCACTCGCCGAAGCAAGGCTGAATTGAGGACCAAACACCAGCAGAGCGTCCACCGTCCGCCTGACCCTCCCACTTCCCATTCTCTACCTTCCAGTGTCCTTACACCCTTCCACCCATACCGGCAGCGCACAACTCCGCTTGTCAAACTACGCCGACGCAAGAGTTGAACCGCCCGAATGGCTGCCAACGAGTCGACGGCGGCCGCTGGTCCGTCCAAACGGGAGAGAAAGCGTCTCTTCATCACCGAGAAACTAGCCTTCCTGAACGAAAAGTTCCACCGTGAGCGCGACCTTACCTACCGAGACCAGCTGCAGAAGATCCAAGTCGACAACACTCTCGTCCAGCGCCTCGACCCATATGCCTCTGACGCACTCGAGGTCATCGCCAGCGCTCGTCGTGATCATGCCGAGGCGCAGACCCCCGAAACCTTGCCTGAGAACACCCGCACACTCCTGCACATGTCGGGCCCGAGGCTTCAGGATTTCCTCCAGGAAGTTGAGGACCTGATCGAGTATCGCGACTCGAGCGTTGCGCAGCAAAAGGTATGACTGCACCAAGTTTTGTCCTCGTCGTCTCGCTTTTTCTGACCCGGCTCTCTCCAGCACGAGCATGACCGCCGTCTCCACCAGTACCAGAATGAGCACCTCTACAAGATCGAAGCTGCCAACCGCGAGCACCGGGCGCTAGCCGACACCCTCCGTGACCGACTCATCAACACTGTCTCCTCTCGGAAATACCGCCTCCAGAAAGAAAAGGAAGCGCTCGAGATCTCCGACTCGTCTGCTCTCCTTCTCCATCCCAACCAATTCAGCATTACAAACCCTGCCAGCCCTGGCGGCACCCACAAGCGAGCTACCCGACTGCGCAAGGATGCCGACGACATCCCCGGATACTCCGAGGGCAAGAAGCGGAAGCGAGTTCCAGGCGAAGACGACGGTTCTCCAGCTCCCGCGCGTAGGGCGCTCGACCCCAATACCACAACTCCCCTGTGGCAGAACGAGAAGCTCCGCTACGCTGCGAAGCACCACGGCCCCGCCTACAGCTTGGACAAGCTCTTCACCGAGAAGGAGCTTTCGCTCACGCGCCTCAACGCATCTCTGGCGGCGCACAAGTACATCCAGAAGCACAAGGTCTACTCCAATGGTGCCACGTCCCCGAACGGCAGCGATTCGGGCCACGGCGATAACGACAGTGCGGAGCAAGACGGCGACTCGGCCTCGGCACCCATGATGGAGCGCACGGCATCCCATACGACGAGGAGCACTCGCGCCGGTATCAACCAGAGCTTGCTCGATGCGGCAGATGCGTCAAATACCCTCGAGCTACCCAAACACATCGATATTCTGGAGCCTCACGAGCCGACAAAGATCCCTTCTACCCACATCGCCTCGTACTTCAAGACCAACGGCCGTGTTACCGAGAACTGCCCAACCTCACTGACAGTCGAGGAAGCCAACTCGGATATTCTTCTCATGGAGCTTTACAAAAAGTACGATGCCAAGCACAAGCCTGGTGCGTCCATCGACCATCCCAATGGCAGCAAGAAACTGCTGGAGTCCGTCGTTGCCCCTTACGTCAGGACACACTACACAGGCTTCCGCACCGGCGGTCGCCCCAATCCCAAGGCGATGAATGAGAATCTCGCCAGTGTCGAGGCTCGCGACTCTGCCCCCTCAAGTCTTGCTGCAGCTCTGGGGGCTGCGGCCCCGATGAGCCGCCAAAGCAGTGCCGCCGGAGGGAACACGATGAGCCGGCAGGGCAGTGCCCGTGGTAAGACACGGAAGAATTGAACTGGTGGAGGCCTGCAGGCAAGCAAGTGATCGGTAGAGGAAAGAGACGAGGCGGCAACACATGAGACGGCGTTTGGTTACATGACTGAAATGAGGATTTTCTTGGTCTTGATACCGAGGCACGGTTATCGCGCACATGGGTTTTTATTTTTTTACATCTTCAGTCCAGTGAGTGGCCCTACATGGATCCAGCGGGCAGTTCCACGCACAAGCATCATTGGCATACAGAACTCTGGTAACGGGGATAGGCAGGGATAGCAGCACATGGCGGAAGACGTGATCATAGTCGTTCGCAAGGGCACGGGACACTCTTTTAGTTCGTTGGTGCAGATACCCAGTTGCTATTATGAGATATTTCATGGCTTCATCACATGCTGTGCTTCACTTCGCTTTGCTGTTCTCGCTATCGTCCATCCGCTCTCAGGGCCCGAACACGAGCGCCCTCACCTCGATACTCTCCCGTCCCTCGGCATCCTCCGCCGTGCCGGGATGCGCAAACGCCGTGTGTGCCACGCGCCCTCCCTGCACGCCACTCCCCTCCTTCAACGCCTCGCTGTCGAAGCACTCGAGCAGCAGCCTCTGGTCGCCCGTCATGCCGGAGAGATAGTACCACTTCTGGCCCTCGTGGTAGCGGATGCCGGCCGTCTCGCCCGTGTAGCCGTTGGCGTAGCGGTGCTCGACGGGCACAACCTCGTCGTCGCGCAGCGAGGCGCTCGAGGCGAAGGCGAGGGGGAACGAGGCGACGGGCCCGCGGTTCAGCGGTCGCCAGACGTTGATGATGCGGTGGCGGCCGGCGAGGAGGCGGTCGGCCTCGTCGTCGGACGCGGCGTGGCGGCGCACGCGCAGGGCGGCGGAGCGGGCCGTCTGGTCAATGTGGACACGCTGGACGGGCTCGCGGGGGCTGTTCTTGCTGGCGCGGCGGATGGTGTGGTCGAAGAAGATGACCTTGTTGGCGCCGGGGACGGTCTTCAGCAGCAGCGCCTCGAGCTCGGGGTAGTAGTTCTTCCTGATGGAGTCATCGTCTGCGAAGGCCGTCTCGGCAGAGGGCGGCTCGCCTGAGAAGAGGGCAAAGGCGTCACGGTCGAGGTTCTGGAAGGAGGACTCGGAGCCGCGAATATCTGTTATCGGGACAGGGCGTGAATCGGTCGTGTAGTTGCGAACGGGCAGACCAGGAGGGGGAGGGTCAACGTGGTTGAAGGGAGCGGCGCCGTCGGGGGGTGGGGCATAGAAGTTTAGGGTCGCCGTCGTGTTGCCAGACATGATTGTAATGCGACACCGTACAAGTAGGAAAAAACTCCGGACGTAAGTTGTACGATTTGATAGATCAAGACGGAGCTGTCACAGGCAGTTTCGACTGATGGCAGTCACAGTGTACGTTCGCTCGTGGTGCTCGTGGTGGTCAGGAGATTGGAAGACGGGCGAGTAAATAGATGCTAGAGGATGTGAAGTAAACCACGACGAGGGGCAGATGATTGTATCTTTATATACTGGATATGGATATTGTATTTGAAATCAGACGTGGACGAGGTCATCCGAACATGAGCTGAGCTTGCGTGAGCTGTGATGTTCACACCCGATCACGCAATTGATGGGATGGGGCCAATGATGAATTGACGACAGAAGGGCGTATCACTTAATGGTGGGCGGTCTTCAGATTAGTAAAGCATGGAAGCCGCAACGAACTGCCCTTCCTCTGTTTGGCAGGTGGTTTTGCCAGCAGTAGTTGGTTCTTTGGCACCTCATCATTCTTTGTCCTGACAAATCGTCGATGGCGTGGTTGATGGACAGGACAGAATCTGGGGAAACCACATGACGCAATACTGTGTGCAAAGACCGTGCCGTCTGGCTTCGCACTGCTGCGACTGCCGACGCATCGGGATGCACTTGCTTGCGCGCCGGGGTCGCGATTGCCAAGACGTCGATGCCGCCCCCTCTAATACGGTTTCGGGAGTAGCTCAGCATTAGGTACCTCCTGAGGTAGGCAGTGGGCAATAGAGAGTGGGCAAGAGACAGTGGGCGACAGGCAGCGGGCAGGCCCCCAATGCTCATGAGCCCACGAGCTAAATTTAGTACTCCCAATTCAACCTCAGCGCCGTTGCCGTCTCTCTGGGTAACAGGAACAGTCAACTTCATCGACTGTTGCCGTGACTCGTCTCGCGACAATACCCCCCCTCACGAGGTCCGCGCCCGCGCCCTGTCATGTCTGGCACCACCCTAGCGATTGACCGCACCTGTACCGGCATCGACCTCAGCATCCATTGGCATCAGTCTGCAGCCATACCAACCCAAGTGCTGCTGTAACTCGCATGCAGCCACCAATGATGTGACGCTCAGCTCCCTGGCTGCACTACACCTCGCGATGGCTTCAGCTCATCTTCAACCACCCTCGCAACCTCCGCCCAACAGACACGCAAATGGGCAGGGCCACGTGATGCAATCGCCGTCTTACCCCGCCCGAGCGAGGCAGCACGCAGCCGCACCATTGCTCATCCGCCCTACACTTCCAAGCAGGCATGTGGACGCGGCGACCTTCGAAGATGCTTTCGTCTCCTTCATCATGTACTGCAACCCCGCCGTACCCCTGGAGACGGACACGGGTACTTTGCGAGAAGCGTTTCGTGCCTTGCCGAAATCCGGCGGCAAGTCCTTCACTGCCTTTAACCTCTTCTTGCTCGTGAGGCAACTCGAGACGAAAGAACTGAAGACCTGGGCTGAGCTTGCACTCAAGCTCGGCGTCGATCCGCCCGATAAGGACAAAGGGGAGAGCTCCCAGAAGATTC